CGTGGACGCTGCTGCGCCTGCCAACATGTCGAAGAATCCGAAGGACCACGGGCCCGAAAGCATAGACGACATTCGGGACGAGGATTTTCATCGCGATCGTCGGCCAGGCGATGAGGCGGACAGCACTTTCGAGGATCCGTCTACGCCACAAGAATCACCAGCAAACGTCCCTCCCCAGCCCAGGCACCCTACCAAGGTTGTCAAGTCGATAATCATGCCTGCTCCAGCCAACCACGCTCTGCTATTCAACCCTGCCACTGTCAGGGTCCTCGCCGGTCTTGTGTCCGACTTTCTCACCAACCATGTCAGTGGTCGCTTTTCTCTTGGTTGGCAACTGCAGTACCTATCGCGCGAGGGCAAGTGGGATGTCAAAAACTTGGCCAAGTGGAAGGGGGTGGTCCCCGTTTCCCAACCCATTGGCCCAAAGGGCAAGCCGGCAGTCTTCAGGGCGATGAAGACCCTTCGAGAAGCAGACGACACGCACTCTCCCGCAGAGTTTGTCAAGAACTGGGGAGCCATCATCAAGGACGTCATCGACATCAGCCACGACAAGCCAGTATATGACCCCCGAACTATGGAAAAGGGCGGTGTCCGATACCACAAGTACGCGACGGTGTCCAAAATCCCTCCCAAGGATGACGAGGTCGCCCATTTCATTTCACTGGTGGACAAGCTGCGGGAGCAGCAGAAGACGAGAGCAGAGGAGGAGAAGTGGACGGAGGTGGATGGCCAGACGCAGGTGATTGGCGTACATTGCCACTACGGCTTCAACCGAACCGGGTACTTTATTGTGTGCTACTTGGTTGAACGATGCGGGATGGATGTGGGTGAAGCTATTGACACGTTCAAAGCGGCAAGGCCTAACGGGATTCGCCATCAACACTTCAGGGATCGATTGCACATGCGATACTCGGGCTTGAAGCTGGAAGAAGACCAACAAGGGGTGAGCCAGTAGTCGGAAGGAGACCATAAACAGGAGGACCAATAACTGTAGCAGGTCGTACTGGAAGGTTTACTGTTCAGCGATGAATACGGATGGCTCGTAGTGAGTTTTGGTTTCAAAGGTTAGACGATACCCAGCGTAACTCATTAATGATAAATATACTTAACTCGGACTCGTGGCTAGAAGGAGAACGCATATTCGTGGTTCTAGTCGCTTCTTGCTTAAAATTGGACGTTGTGTAGGCAAGGCTGGACATTACGTTGGACGCTTTCTCTGCACCATTGATACCTCGGTTGACAGAGGCCGATGTGAGATTTACGTTGGCGCGCATGAACACTCAAAGGTCGGTCTCCTTATCCTTTACCACTGTCCTCTTTTCTAATTCGCCCAAATACACACAACTCGTCCTTCCTTCCCGCCGGCTCAGTTCTCCGTGTCTTCTATGTCATAGAGCACACCTCACCTAACCAACTCCCATGTCCAGGTGACATCCATGCCTGGCTCCATTGGCACATGCTTCCAGAGCATGAACCATGGATTGATACGTCCGGCGTTTGAATTAACTAGCCACTGTAAATTACCAAGACGGACGACCAACGAAGGCAAAAAAAGTGCGGTCTCCTTCCCACCTCCTACCGCAGCGCGGTTGAAACTGCAAAAGATGAAGTGATCAGTGTGAGGCTTGAACTCACGGCCTTGGCATCACTCAACATATCCGATGATATATTAGTACCACGCTCTAACCAACTGAGCTAACCGACCAATTGCAACCGTATTGTGGGGATGTTGTGGTGTGTGTGTGGGTGGGCGAGGTTTGAGGGCCCTAAGAGAGGCCCACGATGATGGAGCTTGCGGTGGATGGGGCCGGGAGGGGTCCTGGAGGGGAGTCCGGCGGACGTCGGAGGGCGCCGGCGGGACTCGGGTGCCGGGCCGTATGGTGGAGACGACACATCTCAGCAAGCTCTAGCCAACGATGAAGCCTTTGGCTATGATGCTTATTGAAGTCACTCAGGTGGGGGTGCCAGAAGTGTTCTCCGACTCGGCCCGTTTGGCCCACGATCTGAAGCCGTCTAGCCATACGAGCCTGAAGAAGAGGCGTCTTGAATACTCAACTCTACCATCGGTCGTCGGCGTCTTTTGGCCGAGAGTTTCCAAGCAGCACAGAGAGTTCCGAAAGTGAGTTTAACACAGCCCGAAAGAGGAAGTCCTCGCAACGCAAATGTGTCAAGGGAGGCCAGAGCGAGTTGTCGCCCGATGGTCGCCTTGACGAGTCGCGGAGCACAGCACCGAGAAGCATGGCGCCGGGCTTCGAGCTCGCGGAAAAGGTTTCCAGACTATCCACATATGGAGACAGTTGGATTCTCTTCGGGATTTACCCCGTGGTTGCCTGGTTTTGACCCGTCATTTTGCGCATGGCGAATGTCAGTGGTGAACTGAAACTATCTTCTTCCTCTGGACAGGTTCGTACTTACGTTGGAAAGCCAGCGTATGAAGAAAAACGCCGCGGCCTCTCATATCATGATTCCTACAGTGTATAGTCGGCTCCCATGCGGGAATAAAGCAAATTCAAGCAGAAAAAGGCCCCGACACCATCCGTCTGGCGTCTGGGGATTTCTCAAGAAGCCAGTCGGGGTGAGAGGAGGCAACGTCACGGAACAGACTTGGGTCTTATACACATTCTTCATCAGAGTCAACGCTGCCATCCCAATCACATCTGCCCCGACCCAAGTCTTGCCAGTTTCCCCTAAGATAACATGATAAAAAGAGAAGCCTTCTTGGTGACAACAGCAGCACTTACAAACAGAAACAAGGAGTGGCCAGCTATGAACATTAAGCCGACTCGACGCGAGTGAGGCGACGAAGAAACGAAATAATATTAGTTCACAGAACAAGGCAGGGTAGCTTTTCTTCCAGTAAATACTTATCAACTTTAACTTCGTTCTTCAGAGTCTCAGATGGAGGGAGAAGTGCGTTGTGTGGCTCGACCAGTTGTCTTGAAGGTTGAATTGAAGGAGACAGCTTTCTTTGTGGCCCTCAATCCATGCAGTATCTCGCCTTCTTCTTTACAATGAACCACAGTTTTTTACATCCATCTGTACATACTCAGCATGGCTCGATGCTTATACCTGCATGTGATGGATCACAACAAGAACAACCCTATGATATAGATGGTGTCTGAATGTCTCCCAATACATGAAGCTGCGCTGATACCGTTCGGCAGAAAACCATTTTGTATCAATGCAGCAGTCAACTTCAACATAAGTGAAAGCCTTCATTTCAATCGTAAGAGCCGGATACGAACCGATGCCGATTTCTATTATTTGGAACATCTCCGGTGGATATGAAAGTCATACACAGGCTAGAATCTCAGCGTTATAGACATAATCTATCTGCTGCCTTTCTCAATACCCGTCTTGGGAAGGTAAAATGGCAGTCTGAACCGATGCACATCGGACCCGGCTCCGCAACTCGATTACACCAACTCTCGCAATCAGCCCGGCAGCCAAACGCTGTACCGCAGGCACCGTATTTACAGAATATACTGATTTCTGTACCATCCTTCTACAACGTTCTAACATCGTTTGGAACCATCAACACAAGCGCCAGAGCCGGTTGCTTTCATCTCAGTGGCTTCGCACCACGTCAGATCTGACAGACGGGCCCCCGGACGCTGACACAAGAGACGGGACGACGCGGCGGACTCGACGGACTCGCTGGCCTCGACAGACTGGCTCTTGTCAAGGCAGTAGGCCGCGCCACGTCCTCGCGCACGTCGGGACACGCCTTTCGGTTCCTTCGGAGACCCTCGGGCAGGCGGAGAGGCCAGACAAAAGGTCGTTCTTCTCTTCCCTGCTACTTCGTGGCTCTTCGAGCCGCCTAGCAACAGACATCTGCCGCGGCAACTCCTTGGGCACTGGCCGAGGAAGGGCGCGTTGAGAGACCTGACTTTGGCTGTACATAACGTGACATTCACACCTGCGGAACATGCACTTCGGTTTCACTTGACCCCCATAGACTTCCCGCCTGCTGCTCGCCCAGCCTCTCACTCTCTCGTGACCGGCGTCGGGACCCCGCAGGCCAAGGTGGAGGGGATCACAGCAAGAAAGACATGATGGTAGAAGGGCGCAGCCAACACCGGGATGTATCTCGCCCTCCCCGCCCTCTCCCCCCCAGCAGTCCACAATATCAGTCTTAACCTGATACCAACCAACCCCCTTTCCCCCTCCACTCCTTGTGATGTGCTTTGACTGTTACCTGCTGTGTCCGTCCAACTTCATCTGCACTCTGCACTCCACAATGCACTGCACTGCACTGCTGTGCTGGCAAACAGACAACAGGTAACGACAGCCACCCAAGGAAGAGAATCGGATGACCAAGCCCCCCCTGGCTGCACAGCGCAGACGACGCCCGCCTCCCCTTCAGGCCCCAGACGCAGCAGCAAGGACAACAACGAGAAGAGCGTCACGCACGAGCGTTTCCCCCGTCCAGCCATCACCCATCAGTCTAAAGTTCGTCTGACAACTCAGGCCACAGCGGTAGCTCGCTGCCACTCACCGAGCGGTTCCCTCGTCAGGCGGCCGAGCACATGTCTCTCTTCTTCCTCTCCTCATCTCCCAGGAAGAGTGGCTGGCGTAAGCTTCGTGTGCCATCTAGCACACTCACGCATACACGCGCGCACGCACGCACGCAAGCTTGCAAGCGCCGAGCAGTGACCTATCTCCTGACGGAAAAGTCCGTGATGCAGGATGTGCGAATCTCGCGAGCCTTTTCTATTCTAGTCTTCACACACCCCCACCCCCCACCTTCTCATCTTCTTAGCTCGTACATTCGTTTTAATTAGCTGACACCAGATGGCAAGCCCCTCGGCTGGGGGAGGGGGGGGGGGGGTTTCAAAAACAGTCAAAGAGCGTAGCAAAGATACAGGGAGCCAAGGGCCGGAGGGCGGGAGGAAACAGGTTGGGCAATTTGGAACGGGCGACGGACGGAACAACTGGCGCTCTGTGACATCCCATCCAGTTGCCCTACCGGTCCCACCCTCCCCTCCGTCGTCGTCGTCGTGACCTGTCCTAGCCGCAGGACATGCTGCGCATCGTGTATCGTACCTTGAGATGCGCAACAGTTTTTACCCATTCCCTCCTAGCGTCTCACTCTCCTTCCTTATCGTGTTAGCCTCATCTTCCCATGCTGCTGATCACGGCCCTCACCATCTCTGGCTCTCCTTGTTTCTCATCTCCGCCAGTCCAACTCCATGGCGCCGGCCGGTTTCTTCTGTCTTCCGTCCTGGGCTCCATTCTCATCGGCCCCCTTGCCGCCCCATCCTGGAGCTAGAGGAAGCTTCCACATCCGAAAGAAAATACACACCTCCTGTAAGAGCACACACACGCCCTTTGTGGGAGCAAGCCCCCCTCCCAACGACGCCTTCGCAGAATAAGGGCGCCCGCTAAGAGATATTGCGCCATCCGCCTAACAAACAAGGAAACTAGGAAAAGGAGTAATAGCACGACACTTGTCCGCTAGACACGTCCCCTTCTGTAAGCAGCACACTAGAAACGGATACCCCATAGGCAATCCTGGAAGAGCACTGGCGTCTGTCCTTGCCTGTGTGTATCCGGAAAGTAACCAGGCCAAGACCGCGCGAGCAACAGCACAACATGGGCACCAACGCCAGCGCCAGCTCCAGCACCAACGCCAACGCCAACGCCAACGCCCAACACCAGCAGTAGCATCGATTGGCGGGCCTTTTGAGCGTTGGCGGTTGGGTTTGTATGGGGGAGGGGATGGAAGAGTGCAACAGAAAAGGGGACGAAACAACGACCTAGGAGAGACCGGAGACAAAGTACGTGTGACGTGAGCACGTTTTGGACAGCGCCGGCTCCGTTCGGCCGTCGTCCTTTGACATGTCCGTCTCCCGGAGTGGACTCCGGAAGAGCGACCCAGACATCAACAGACGACGCGAGAGTGTACCGGCCAACTGACCGGGTGGAGCGGGAGAGGCGGGAGAAAAGCAACAACAACGGCTCAGAACGATTTGTCACTGTTACCCCCTTCCGCATCTGCAGAAGGTTCAAGCAGCCTAGGACGCGTACTCTAACGTCCGGCCAGCGCAAGGTCACCCGGTACCTTTCTCGTCATCATAATCGACCCCCTTCCTCCGCGTCCCACTGCTAGTGTCGATTTCCGACAGAGAAAGGACCTTCTTCGATGCACACGTGCCCGTGTTGTAAGGAAGATGTGGTCCGGACAGGTTGATCGAAGTTCAAGGCACACACATACACACGTACGCACACGCCCCCTTCTGCCCCAACAGGAATTATCGCATCCGATGCGCCATGCAAGAAAGTGCCCGGCGAGGCCCGGCGAGGGCAACATAATGCAAGGATACGGGGAAAAGCCAACAAATCACAAAAGGGATTGTCATGGTTCGCACTACCACCGGGTACCCTCGCAAGGTCTTCGGGCAAAAGGGAACAAAGATCTTCGACCTACCGGCCTAGCGCGGCGGGGGAAAGCCGGCTAGAAACGACACGAGAGAGATAGGAGCGAAGTAGGGGGGCCTGATGAGGCACCCTGCCGTGGTAGCATGGGAAGCTACTGCATCTCGTCTTTCCGATCACACTCTGCATCCTGCCTCACTCACTCGTTCCCGCCGCCGGTCCTCCTTCCGCTCTGCCGACTGCCAGGACAAGGCCTTGTGATAGGTTCTTGCGAACAAGGTAGAAGGGGGAAAGCCGTGTCCACAGCCGAGCTGAGAGAGGAGAGAGAGGCAAGAACACGGCCTGCCGGCAACAAATCATTGAGAACAGACGCCGCTTGTGACGTAGCGGGAAATTTGATGGTCATCGGGTTAGTTGTCCTAAGGTCCCGTGGGTTAGGCCGAGGAAGGGTGGAGAGGGGGGGGTTGTTAGAAAGGATGTCAAGGGGGGGGTCCAGAAACATCGGAACTCGAAAAATCCATACTTTCACTTTCACTTGGCAGGTACGGTTACATTCAACGATCTGTTTCTTCATTCCTGGTCATAATTGAACCGCATTGATGGAGAGGGGGGGGGGGGCTTTTCGTCACTCCTGTACGCGTACTGCTGCTGCTTTGGATGAACATAATTGCCGTCTCAAGACAAGCATGGACCGGTTTCCTCTGCGGGGAGAGCAGACACGGTTTGAGAATTGAGGGGGGCAAGAAGGGGGTGGGGAGGATGCTAGTGTCCTGAGAGCTCTCCCTCTCTCGGTATTTCTCTCTGCCTTTTCCCGAGTCATTCAAGTCCCAACGAGGCTCTCCTGCAAGCTGCTTATGCTGTCGAAGGAAGATCCATCCTGTGGCGCGGGACGGAGACGCTTCCTCCACTCGAGGTGTTTGAGGAGATGGAGCCGGGTGGAAGGGAAGCCACAAGAGGACAAAGAGGACTCTTCACGAGGTGTGGAATAAACGAAAAAAAGACGACGCTAACCTTCTTGGAGGCCAGCTGTCTGAATACCTCTCCCTTTCCTTCTTACTCGGTGAACTCGGGCTGCCTGCTGAGCAGGATAATCACATAGGTAGTGGTAAATAAGGGGGGGGGGGGTAGGGAACGATCGGACTTTGGAAGCTAAACAAGAGTACGACGTGGGATAATAACGACCCCCCCCCCACGCTGCAGTGAAATGGCTATCCTGTGACTCTGCGGGAATGCGGCTGACTTACGCAGATGGGCCTTGTTACCAAAATACGAATACAAGGCGGCCCCTCTTCAGGTCACGCAGGTACACAATGATAATCCAATACAGTTGGAAGAAGGGCCTCGGTAGGGGATGTTGTCGAGAGGCGGTGTAAAAAGGGATGCAAGGCGGCAGGTGGGAAACTCTATTTGGGCAGCATGTCTTGAAGCTGTCGCCGTGATTCGTCGCGCGGGCAGCAAAGCCGGGCAATAAAATGGACGAGGTCTCAGACCTCGCTGACAGACGGTGAGATTACGCAGATGCGAGACTCGTTTGCGACCGTAGGGATGGGATGGGACGAGGGAGAGCTCATAGTTGCGTCTCCTGGCTTGCCGCCAGCAAAAAGGTCGTCGGCATCGTGCCGTGCTCCAGTTACTCACTCTGATCGCCTCGAGGCCTGGTGGGATGCCATCGCATTCATGATGCTGCACAGGCCGCAGGGGCGCATCATCGGTGGCCTAGCCCAAAACAGACAAGCAGGCACCGCGGGCTTCATCATAGCCGGCGGGAGAGCATCGATTAGTGCCGCCGTAGGCCGAGAAAGAGAGTCCCAGGCCGAGCCCAGCACACCACTGGAGGTGCTGAAGAACCACTAACCACGAAGGGCGCTTGCCTCAAGTACCATGTATGTGGCGTTCCGCCCAAAACCCTGTCATGGAAGAGAAGGGGGGGAGGGCTCTGGGGTTTCTTGCAGGTTCATGGACGAGGACGTCGGGGAGCGAGTGCCCGGGACACCTGCTGCGATGTGATTCGATTGTCGGCGGCGTATATACGACAAAGGCTCGAGGCCAAGATGAGAGCGCGAATGCAGCACTTGCGTCATCTTCCCATTGTTGACTGTACAGAGTGAAACGGGTCGAGGCAGGATATGCCTCTCACGTCTCGTTCGGTTGAGTTTGCCTGACCTGCATACGCACGGGGGCATGAAAGGCCCCCCCCCCCCGCCCCCCCTTCAATTCTCTAGAACGACAAATACCGCGGCCGCAGTCCTGGGACTACGTGAGTTCCTGGGGCCGTGTAAGTCCAGGACTGCGTTGTTCGGCCGCTCAGCCCTCTGCCACTATCCGATGTTTTACAGTTTCAACCTCTTCTAGGAAGAAGGCTTAAAAAAGGGCATGTGGAGAGAGCTTTCGAGGTTTAGCCTCTCCTCCCCACTTCTTCTTTGCTGCCGCATTATCCGTACCCGTCGTCCCAATCGAGATAAGACAATCGCGGCGCCATGTCACACCGCCCTGTTTCTGCCCCTTTTCTTTCTTCTCCCTCTTTCTTTTCTTTTTCCTCTTTGTGCTCTTGGTTGACACGAGACGGCTGTGGAAAAGAAAAGGTCCAAGCCGAGTTTCGTGCAACCCAAAGCCCAGGAACTTGGGGCCTTGGAAGGGAGCGGCAAAGCACAAAAGCAACAACGTGGTGTCCTGGTCGATGGATGATATTCACAAGGATCCGTGTAGGCCCTGGTTGGGGGGGAGGGGCCACCTGGAGGGGGGGGGGGGGGGGACATGCAGCTTAACCCCTTTTTTTGACGACATCGTGTCTGGCATCGTACATAATAGTTGACGTAGCCGTGGTTGATGAAACAAACAAAAAAAGAAATAGAAAAAGAAAAAGGCTGGGGGTTAAACTGTCTGCTTCGATTTATTCGAAATAATATTCCAGACCGTTGGGAATAAACTCCCCATCGGGTTTCCAGCCGAAAGTGAAGCCTACAGAAGTGGCTCCCAAACGGAGGAATTATTACAGCTTTCCCACCCGTACGTAGCCTGAGGGACCCTTGAGCCAGCTTCTGCAAGAATGCTCCCCTCGATCAATTACTAGAGCTAATGGCGTTTGCGCCAAAAAGCCCCGATGACGAGTGACGACGTGATGCTGGACTAAATAAGCGCAATCGAAAGTCTGATGGAGCATTGTTGACATTGGCCTCAATCTCGCGACAGCGCTATTCACCGGTAGCAAGATGTATCTCGGCCCAGAAACCACGAGGAGACGATATGAATGAGCGTTCAGTAGTTAGCATCCGCTAATGAATGACAGGGCGCGGAACTCGATATGGCGCTTGTGATGGAGCTGGCCACTGGCTGGACAACGCACCTCTAGCGTACAGCAACACGTCGTTGCTGGCTCGGAATGAATTATTCCATTACTGCCAGCAAAGGGTGTCGGCTCTATTGATACGCTTCTGGGATCCTGGCCCGTCCCTGTCCTCTTTGAGCCTTGCCCCCGGATATGGGGAAGCTCTGGGGCGAGAAAGGCTCCCTCGCCATGTGAGAAGGCGCTGCCACCAGCGGCGGGAGCTTTTTTGACCGCATGCTACGGGAGGGATTATGGTTAGACTCTTCATGTGACAGTTGCAAGCCTCGACAACCAACCACAAAGCTATCATGTGGCACGATTCGAGTTGACTCGAGGGATTCTGCGAAGAAACCGGCGTTCGGCGGGCGCACGGCCAACGGCTGCCGACAAGAGGTTGGGACGAATGACTAGCGTTATAGGCATGATGTTGGACCCAATGGGCAGTTGTTTGGTTTGTGTTCATGGTTATAGTTGATCACGGCTGAATCTTGTCAGAGCTGAAGTGCCAATGGGGGAGCCGCGCTGCTCGAGGGCCAATGAAGTCCGGATGAAGCTTGCCCTGCGAAATGTGTGATCCTTTGGAACAGACACGATTCCATTGTCCGAGACCTTAAAGGTTGTCTCGCATGTCATTTCGTGGAAAGGGCTGAGCAAGGATGGGCGTGCGTACTTGGTATCATCCGATGCTGTTTCTTAGTTCAAACCAAGAAGATCTAGTTCCTAGCATCAGTACGCATGGTTTGCGTGGGAGGGGAAAAAAAAGAAGGCTCATTCGAGCTCTCCAGCCGCAGGCATCATCGATGCGGCAACCACTTGTGATCCAGGGACGACAGATCTCGGTCAGGAACTATGATTTTCGTTGTCTTGCAGGGCAATCGTGGGATGCTGTTGACATTTACGAGGCTCGAAAGCCTGGTCAACGGGCAGGGCCTTGCTACACCAGGCATGGGCGGGTACATGTCAATCATCAATATCCAAGACCGGGACGGAAAGAACGCAAGTCCTTCGCGTCTCTCAAAACTTCTCGTTCGGGCTTGGTGATTCATTCATTGGGCGGTAAACACGTCGTAGGATCGGCGGCAGCCTTGGTTGCATCGACGCACGATAATCGTATCTGAGCTGATGGCACGCACCACTTGGCCAGGGTCACGATATCAATAAGTGGGAAAGACAGAAAGATCAATGCGGTGGGTTTTGCGCTTCGCAACGTGCCTCACCGTCGTGGTGGATAGCAATGTCGAGCCCAGGTCGTCGGTGTATGTAGATGATGGCCTGCCTGCCTACCTGCAGTATGAACCCGTCATGTGCTGAGCTCCGAGGATAGAATGGCTCCATCTGATTGGACAAGATTGAGAGTCGTAGTCGATATCAAGTTAGTTTACCACTGTATCTTCGGCTGCCCTTTCGGAAGCCAGATGCCGATTAATTACTTCAGCCTCATTTCAGGACAAGCAAGCAAATCACCACCTCAAAGAGTCACGCACAGCCGCACTTCCGGGGTACGAGCCTCCCAATTTCCCGCCCTGGCAAAACTCCATTCGAGTCGCCCCTTCGAGATTTTCGGTGGGGATTCGACCTTCTTCAGTGATCATCGTCGCCCGCACCTCGCCTGTTGCGCTCAGGGGCAGGCATGTGGAGGTTCTACAGTCGATCATTGACAAGCGAACAGTAGGCTGATCGACAGGGCCAAACAGCCCTGGGCATGCGTGCGGTACCCGTTCTTCCCAAGCGACGAATGGACGGACTCGTACGAGTCAAGTTTCTTTGCTGCTGAACAGAGGATCTACCGTAGGCAGAAGGGCAAGAAGTCAGTCAAAACCACCCGAGGCTGCGATGGCTTGCAGGGAAACAGTGCGCGAGGCGGTTGGACGGTGACGTCGACGCAGACCTGCAAGAAACGCCTCTGTTGTCGTTGACTCGAGCCTTTCAACGAAATGTTTGACGCTGTTTTCGTGAGACGGAAGACACCCTAGAATGTTTCTGGGCATAACGCCTCTTCTTGGTCAGAGGATCGCCAAACAGACTAATCCACTGCGGAGGATCATCGGGCTAGTCAGGTTCCGTCGGGTCCCGAGGTGTTGGGGTGGCATTTCGCAGGACGCACGCGTCGTTTGGTAGCTAAAGCGTCTGGCGGCATCGTTTGTGCTTCGGACGTTTTGGCACCGCACTTGAAGAGAACGGAAGGCGGCTGCAAGGGAGGAAAGGCTTGTTTGTGGAGGCGCGGTGCTCAAGTGCCCGCTCGCTTAGTGCAGTCCTGGCCGGATAGCGGAAAGAAATCGCCCCCCCCCCCCTGATGGAATTCGCGCGATGATACATCATACAACCGGGGCTGCACTCTGCTCAGTTCGGACTGACCCGAACGGGGTTAGCTCATTGTCGAATGCCGTCTTACCTGAGCGACTATCGATGGCTTCCCGAGGACGGGCCAATGCCTTTGCGGGCGAAAGCTTCGCCTGCATCCGTGGTTACTTGGTAATAACTTGTACTTTTGCTTCGGGCAAGCTGAAGCCGTGGTCCCGGCGCGAGAGGTTGATCTCCATGTTCATGCCGCGCGCGAGCCACTCGTTGTTAGCAGAGGTGTTGATGGCTACGGTGCAGCTGGAGAGATTGATGGATGGGCTTTCCCACTCTTCCCACTCTTCCCACTCTTCCCACTCCCACTCGAGCGCCTTCTTTTGTCTCTTTCTTTGCCTCTTGGCCTTCGTACCTCCGCTTGGAGGCCGTGTTTCCCTTCCCTTCCCGTATACCCACGGACGTTGATAGGCACCGAGTAAGCAGCAGCACAGCTCTGATAGGCGGCGCATCAATATTTTGGTTGCAGCCTGGAGCATGGGGTCGTCACCGTAGGGCAGATCCCCAGTCGGCTCGAGCGGGTATGGGCGACATCCCCATCCTCCCCTGTTGTCCCGTTTTGCTCACCGCTAGCTTCCTTCCCTCCCCATTCTCATCCCGGATCGGATTGAGAGAAAGAGATACAGCATACATGCGGAAAGAGCCCGAAACACCTGGCTTGCTACATATTTTGTGTGCGCGTCTTTTCTCAGGCGTCGTTCGGATTCCGCCTGATGAGTGAAATCAACCGCTTTCCAGCCTCTATGTTACATAGCACCACTCTGCCCATGCGCCCGCGTTACATGAGGCCATGCAGCATCTCCCTCCCCATACATAGATAGTATTATCACCGTGTGCTCCAGTGAGCCTCAGCCTGTCCAGGGATGGGGGGTAAACGCACCCCTGCGCATTGGGGTTGGGGCCTCAAACTGGTCGTATCCGTACTCTGCTTGGAACTCCCTGGCGGACCTGCTTCTCATTAATGATTACAGGAGGGGGTTGACCGCTTAGTGGCCTCATGATCTCATTCCACAGGGGTGCCATATGCCATTGTCGCATAATGTCCTCGATGGTCTGGCCTCGCGGGATTCCCAGCGACATGTGAGACGTGTCGGCTTGAGCAACTTGTTAACGGGGGATCATTGTCGACGGCTATGTAGCTCCATGGAGGCGTCTTTCCCGTCCGGTTCCTGGAGCTTGGTTATGATTCAATCGCGTTAGCGGCGCCCGAGGCGTCCCGTACAATCCTCAGAGCGTTGGGAATAGTCAGGAACATATGTCTCAGACAAGCGTTGAATGCTGCGAGTGCTGCTTACTAGCCTTGCCTTTCCAAAAAGAGAGAGACAGAGAGAGAGAGAGAGAGACCAGGCACGCACCAACTGCTCATTATGGCCAATCCATAGGGTGATTACGCGGTAGGTGCGCACGGGATGCGCTCTACTGAAAGCAGCAGCACGCAGACCGCAACACGCTTGGCATGCTCCACTGCACGGCTTCCGATCCGCATGAAGCTGCCTGTTCCTACCTAGTCATTGGGTCAACAAGTGCACACCATCTTTTCGCCTGATGTGATGTTGCGGGATAGATTGAATGACAAAGTGCAGGGCCGTGATTTTTGATACAACGTGGTGACGGCAGGCGCCGAGAGTTTCCCGCTGGTGCACGTTCACCGCATGCGGATTGCTGGATGTCAAGTGATAGATACTCAAGAGTGGCCCGTATACGGTCAAATCGTGTTGCCGCTAGGCAGTCTGTCCTCGAGCCAGGGAAGATCGGGCTACAACCGGCATAAAGGCGGTGTCAAAGAACCATATACCCTGTGTGAACGACCCTGCATGCTGCAAGATTGGTTCCAGCCTCAGGAAAAACTCAAAATCCCTCCCACCTTCAGTTTGGGCTTCAAATGACAGAATGGAAACCGCCCTCCCCACCCTCTCCCTTCGGAATGGAATGCAAAGAACAGCCGAAAGTGACCCCGGTTTTCACTCAGGTGGGACACCCTGAGAAATAGGAACCCATGTTGCCGAGGTGCCCTTCCGATATTGGCTGGAAAGTTGAAGTGGAAGATTGGATGGGAGGGGGGCAAAGAACAACAGCTTTCAGGGAGGCGGGTGGCGGGTGGCGGGGGTGGCGGGTAAGGGACTAGTAGAAGATGAAGAAGAAAAGAGTGGAAGAAGGGCAGTCGAGAAGATGTGAAAGGGCTTGGTTGAAGAGCTCACCAGAGATACGGAACTTGGGTGTCATGTAGCGACATGAGAGGCGTTCAATTGACACGACGCCAACGGGGCCGACAGACGATGAGCTGCTGGCACGCAAGCCAGGCGGTTCGTAGATGCTCATCCGGCGGTTGCACGAGGTTAAGCCACCACTGTTCTAGGGCCCGTGGATTGTGCTGAGGGAGGACCGTCGCTCCGGACGACATGGTCTGCACATCAGTGGATACTCCACGTGAGGCAGTATCGGTCAGACTGCAGATATCGGGCGTACAAAGTTTTAGCCCGCACGTGGAATTCATCGCCGAGGTAGTATCTGAGCTCGAAAAGGGACGACAATCATAGGCGAAGCAAGGAGGGGTAGTAGACAGGCCTCCCCCCGATGCATGCTGTGTGTGTGTCCGTCTCGCGACCGCCGACCTGGCCTAGTCTGGCTCAATGTTCGACGGTCGACCGCTAGGGCCTTGCAGGGACAATGGTAGCCATAGGCAGATGGCAGCCTCGACGGCGCCACTCTGAATCGCAGGGCATGGCCGGCTGGTAGGTGTGCAACAAGCGCAACAGTAGGGCGGCAAAGAGGGGGCCGGCCAACCAGCGACAATTGGCATGGATGGCGGCCATGGCAAAAGGGCCAGAATTTTTGCCAGGTAGGAATGGGTGGCCCGTTGCTGAGCCGCTGCAGGCTTCAGGCAGTTGGAACCACCACATGGATACCATACCGGTGATGCAGTCAGAAACTTTTGGGTCCGATGACCTTGTCCAGCTTGTCTTGCCGAGGTGTCCGCGCAATCTCGTTCCGCCTCTTTCGTATTCCTCTGGATCCACGGCCCAATGCAGCCCTGTCCTGTTAAAATGCTCCTCCTGCAAGTCAAGGTACTTTGGGAGGGGACGGGGACTCTGATTACCAATGCTAAGCTTCTCGTCCAAGGACAGCAACGGAGTGCCGGATCCGGGGCGATACATCAATCAATCGATGAAGGGGTGTGCGATGCAGGCGAATCGAATTCGTTGTGGAATGTCCAAGGGATGAAATCATTGCCCTCTTCGGCGCTTGTCAGCCATATCGATTGGTCGGCAGCACATATTGCGTCTGCCCATGGGGACGTTGCCGGTCACAAACTTGAATGATCGTGGCATGCGACAACTTGGATGCGGCATTGACAGTCACAAAGTGATGACGGTGGTGACTGTACCAATGACACAGCACCCGCGGAGACGGCAATGTGAGTGGACAGCCGTTATGGTGTATGTAGTTGTGATGATGGTGGTGGTGGTGGTACTGCTGGTTGCGGGTGGCTGGATGGACCCAACAGTCGCACATACCTGGGCAGTAGACGGGGATTGGTGCGGCGGAAACTGGAGCAGACCGGGCTTGATGTGTGCATGCCGAATTTTGATCTTGGCGCCCCCGGGGTTCTGTTTCGTTCCTTGGCTCAGATGGCTCCTGGCTTTCTTCAGACCAACGGGCGATAGCAACTGGGCGTAAGGGGAGTGCTGTGCTAGGCGGCTTGTCGTTGGAACAAACATACAATGCCGCGGGCTAGCATATTGTCAGTCGTCCCAAAGATGGATTGGCGTCAGACGTAGCTCGTATGCTCTACAGCTTCATGTACGTGTACGTGTGTGCGTGAGGGGGAGGGGGAGGGGGAGGGGGAGAAAGAGAGAGAGAGAGAGAGAGTGTGTGTGTACCGTCACTGGCAAGGTAGGTGCGAGGGAATGGTCATGTAGGAAACGGCTGTTGGTTCGGTTTGGCTTGGTATAGTTTGGTTCCGTTCCTTCGCGCAAGTAACCAACAACCTTGGAGGAGGATAGACACTGTGCCCCTCCGGAGCATTTACGCTTGCTTAGTCGATTCCCAGTGGTTTGGGTCGCTTGAGATCTGTCGACGCCCTAACCTTCGCGACAGATGACTCTAGCAGCGGGCTGCGTTTCTTGGTGAACCCCTAACCAGGGTATCGGGATCTGCCTAGTTCTTTCGAGAACAACCGTAGATTTGGGGGGGCAAAGCCAGCTTAGAGTGCGCAGTAGCCCCGAAGCACGTTGGAGGCGACTCCTGGCGTGTGGGTTGGCGCTGGCACTTGTCAATGAGCCGCAACCACATTGGCACGACGATGCTATCAAGGCATAGCAGGGTAATAATTAGTGCATGTGTGTGTACACAACTTAAACGGGGCGGAGTAGACGCCTTTTACTTGGTGTAGAGGGTGGCGACAGCGACGACTGGGGGGCCTTGGTGCCGTGATGTGTCCATGACGCATCCAGTTGCGTACGGGTCCAGAGCCGCCGGGGAGGGAACTGACCCAACCATGGAGTGAGCGGTGAGGAGCCCATGAGCATGTCGATGGACAAGGGCAGTTTGAAGTCGAAATCACACACACACACACACACACACACACACACACACACACAGATGGCGGGCCCAGACGAGGTGACCAGGTGCCCGCCCGCGAGGGTTGGTGTCGGATGGGTTCTCGATTCGCAAGCGGAAGAGAGGAAGAGAGCAAGGAGGAGGGGGGACGAAGGGTTGCGTGCAGTCGTCACTGCGGAATCCCTCCGAGGTGAAGGACGCGGACAAGAGTCGAGGTCGAGGCCCGAGGGGTTGTTCGGGGAGGGGAAATGCTTCCCCGTCGGCCGTGACATGCGTAATTACCGCTGCTCCTTGCCATCATTTCCCTCCTCCCTTTCGTAGGCGATTGCTTCTCTTTGTCATCGTCCTGTCCAGCTGAAGATGGTTCCATATTTGAGAGCCTCCGCTCGTCCAAGGTAACTGTTGGAAGGTGCAGCTCCGGGTGGTATGAAAGTGATCATATCCGTACTTTTCATACTCTCTTCCAGTGTGGATTTATCATAGCACCTACCCCGTATCCGTCCCGCATATTGATGAGGAGAGGAAGGAGCGGTGTGGGGCCACGCGGGCGAATCATGTGACCACGTCCCAGGTGAGGCGCGTTCGGTATTTTGGGGGGGGGGGGGGGGGGTGCGTGTGTGTGTGTGCCTCACCGAGCAAGCGCAGCCCGTCGCCCGTCCAAGCGGACCGCTTCCGTCTCTGCAGTCAACATCTTTTGCTCGACCATTTTCACCTTCACCGTCAGTGTTACCATCACCGTCGCCGCTGCCGCTGCCGCTGGCTGCCGCTACCGCTCGACAGGCCTGATATCCTTTCTGCACAGACATCGTCGCCTGTTGGAGCTCGTCTTGCTCATACACTCACAGCCCGCGACGCGACATGCATATGCATAACTGACCCTGTTGGCCAGTTCTTTCCGTGCCCTCCCCTGCTCGCAGCTCAGTCCACTGTAACACTCCGACTCCTCGACTCTCAACTCCGCAGCCCGTATGCACGCACATGCGGGCTGCAATCTCAATCTGGTGTGCCCACATTGCAGGGCAAAGTAACCTGGGGATCAGTCGGATAGTCATCATCGCCGCCTTCCGGCAGGGTTGTAGGCTGTCATGGACTAAGCGAGGCAAAGGCGGGAAGGGAAAGAAGAACAAAGTCTTTCCCGGCCCTAGGCAATGGCCACTTTCCAGGGAGGGGGGGGGGGCCACACAGCGCCCCCAATGTAGTCTGAGGTATACCACATAGCAGATACGCTATAGGTGGTGAGTGTGCGGATACTGTGTATCTAGACAGGCATGGGTGGAGCTTTGCACGTACAAATATCCGTATCTGTATATATACATTGTATCCGTACATGTGCAGCGACCAGGCCATGGCGGGGCAATGAGAAATGGCATGGGAGTGGAGGAAGGAAGAGGGGAAATCTGGATGATGCAGGACAAGCTGGGTGGGCACCGGAGAATGGAGCAGCATTGCGCGTTGCAAGGAACCCAACGAATGTTGCCTAAAGGGCTGGCTATCCCTTCCTTGCCTATCCCTATGCCCTGTCACCCTGTCCCCTGTCGCCTTTTGTCCTTGCGAAGCACCTCGCCCTTTCGCCCATGGTCGCCATTGAACCCCGCCCCCCGGGCTCCCTCTCCGGTCCCCGGTCTCGCGTTTGGCTCGGTATTCCTAGTAAATACGCACTCGGCAGATCTCACCTGTGACCGAGACTAGGCATGTACGGAGTAGAGAGTGGTGGTATGGTATGGTATGGTATGGTCTGGCCGTCGCGTCCTTGTCGTCCTCCTGTTTGGTGTTTGTCAATGGTGGCTAATGACAAGGAGGGCAATGGCAAGCACAAGCGATAATCCCATTTCAATATTGGAGGAGCGGAACGCCGCTAGATGCATTTCTGGTTAGGCCCAACCAACCCCCTTCCTTGCAACTGAAATCTGACGCGCTGCGACTAAATTGGAGGGCGACAGGATAGGGACGGAGGGTAACCAACTTCGGACCGGCCTCCAAACCTCGTCACAATGAGATGGCATTATCCGTATCGAGATGCCGTGCTCTGTATCCTATCCCGGTGTGAAGAGACGATGCATGTCGACGCCAACGGGCCATCAGCCCTCGAGGCCAGCCACCATTACTGACCGACAGCTTTCGGCAATTCCATCGCGATTTTGTCCTTCTCGTCAGCTTTCTTTCCAGCCGGGATCGACACCCCAACATCGCAGACACGGCTGTGGTTTACACCGTTTTGCCCCGGCAATCCGTCTTCCAGGCACTGCCACCTTCCCCGCCAACACTACGAGGTAAATTGAGTTCAGGTCTTCAATGCCCGCCTGCTTCAGGGCTGCCGCCAGCTCGACTGCCTGTGCGCTCACTTCGGCATTGCTCCCTGTATGTCGCGTCGCGTCTCGCCCTGAAGTGGACGAGAGACTCGAGACAGGATGGGCCAATGCCCGCGTCCGCGCACACCCACGTCTAGCCCGAGAACTTGTTTGATAACCATAACTTGCGGGGGAAACGCTAAGGTAGCCCCGAACCGCCGACGGCTGACAGGGACAAGCACAACATCAGACACCTTGTGTCAGGAGACACGTGCCATCTCAGCAATGCTTCTCTCTTCAGGGGCAATTGCCCCCAACAACAATCGAGCCGAGACCAGCTATCTACGTAGTGCAATACGTGGATCGGTCCAGTTGAGCCAATCCTCTCTTGACGGTGATGCTATTCTTCATAGCGTTACAAGGGTGATGCTACGGCCATGATGCTTAGCGATCGACCAGTAGACCCATTGCGCCGTCTTCTGTCTCAGTCCGCGTCTTCAGGTCACCCAGCTACGTGAGCCATCCGACCACGTCTGGCCTCCATTCGGGGAGCGGGAGGCCGACAACGTAAAATCAGAAAGGCCGCATTTCGTCCCATCGACAGCTATTTTTGTCACAGGCCAGGCTTATTGGTCGTGGCTGCTTTGGAAACAAGTGAGTCTCAAGGTTCCACACAACTTGACTGAACAGGTGCAGGAAACCGCCGAACCCCCTTAAGCATCGTAGGTAGTCTCTAGACGATCGCCAAACCAAACAGTTTAGACCACCGTTTGGTCCCAAGCCCTGGACCGGCGCGCTGAAATAACCTTTGCGACGGCCCAAGGCGCCAGCAACACCCCTCGATAACTCGACAACGCCGTGAGGGTCGGAGTCTTTTGGGTTTGGACGTTGCCGCTTGCTTGCGCCCTCGTGACGAGCCTCGTAGAGAGATGTAGGGCTGTGCTGCGCAATGCTCGACAGGACGTCGAGCCTCGTCTTGTCCAGCTGCGGCGTTTCCGAACTGTAAAGGCGATGAAGATATATAGAACAAATGAAATAAAATAAAATAAAAGACCGTTCTTCCTTTTACAGACCACTTGAATACACTTGTTTGTATCCCGTCGTACAATCTCTGTCGCGGACGGAGAATATTCTGGCAGCAGAGCCCCGTGGACCCCATCACACCTGTTGGGGTTAGTGTTGTGTTCAACGCACAGAAGTCCCCGAGGAGTCTATGCTCTTTTCGTATACTGGGATCATCTCCGGCGCAAGCATTCCTTCAACTTCGCCCGAGTCAGGGTCCCACACCCGCGGGGTCTAGATCGCGGGCACCACACGGCAGGTCCCTCTTTCAAGTACCCTCCTTTAACGACGCCTTGGTGGGCATTTGCTTTGTTCTTATGTTTCGCAGTCTCCGTCGTCGGAAGAGGACAGAGACGAGACCGGAGTCCCCATCTAGACGGACGGGCTGCTCCTTGCCCGATGCAATTGAGTGCGAATGCCAACCCTCGTCTGCTCGTGCCGAGACGGCTCCGGCCTTCATTAACCACGACGGATCGGACATTGATAGAGAAATGGGGCCCATGGCATGTATTGGTAGACAGCAGTGCCGTTCCTGTATTGGCCCGCAGTCAGTTCGATGTACGGATACTGTACTCCGTAAACATAGACATACATACAGTACAATGCATCCCATGCAGGAAGAGGCAGGCTCACATCTGCAACCTGAGACTCTGCCGGGACCGACGTCTCTTGTCCTGGCAGGCTGGGCATGTGCAACGCTCGCTTTTGACGTTCTGGCGGGCGGGTGATGATTGTGATCCTATTGCAAATGCCAATGCAACGGCAACCGGGCATCTTGACGATCGACCAGGGCCTCTTTTTGGGGTGGCCAGTGAGGGATGGAAGAGTCGGCACATCAGCCCCCTCTCCCAAGACCTCTGAAGCCAAGACGAGGCAATGTGCAGGGGAGCGAGCATCGGTCTTCACCTTGCGTCGCGCATCACTCGAGCTTACACTAGGTAGCCCGCCGATGATTCGTAGGGACGGGAAGTTAGAAAAAAAGGAAAGAAAAAAAAGACATGCAGAAGTGAGACAGGGAAGAGAGGGTGGGCCCAGCCACAAGGTTCCACATCATCTTCTATCAGGCTAGCGCAATAAAAAAGCGCAGATCTCTGTTCTCTGGGGCCTGGGCTTTCGGTCCATGTCCCCACTACACCGTGATGCAACCTTCAGTCCAGGGGATGGAGAAGGACCCACTCACCTCGCGTTCCTTCCCTCATTGCTCGCTCACCCTGGCATCATGTCTTGGGAGCAGGTGCCCCTCCCCTCACACCTACTGCCTATGCTCCTCCCAAGCAAGTGGCACGAATCCTAGAATCCCCCTGTCCACTGGCCCCTCCTCCCCTCCCTGGTCGTCTTCGCCCGCCCTAGTTGTCTACCTAGTTGCTCGGTTCGTGAAATCTCACGATGCCTGCCTCGCCGTTCGGTTCTCTCGGGCGTCATCGACTGCACAGAAACCTTGTCTTCGGCGCCTTACAACAGTAATTCACACTAGCAACCACACATTCTCTCTCTCTTTCTCCCCGTCTTACACTTTGTGGACAACCACGCTGGCCCGCCCCAGGGGTATGTATGTAATGTACCTTACGACGAATATCGCAACACATAATAGCAGCTTCCACATTCGCCTGTCTCACATGCGCCTATCTATTCCTTTCTCTTGGCTTACCGTTTTCTGTTCCCGGTCTTCCTTGCATCGCTGCTTCATGGAAATGGAGGCCAGGTGGATGCCATCTCCTACGGACGGTATCCATAGCCTCCCTCCTGACCAAGGCATACACTGCCCAGCGTCCTATTCGTCGATATTTCTTACGCTTCCAGCTTACGTAGCGGCGGTTGCTCTCGGAGTCCATTGCCAAGGACCCCATACAGGCGCACAGCACACACACCACAATGCCAGCAAGACAGGGGGAAATTAACCCACGGTGCCGTTCCCTCAGCTGCTCCGCGGCATCCCGGCCCTGGACCTTGCCCACCCGCCATGATCTCCTACTCAGCATTCGTACAACCATCGCCGCCGACCAGTTGCTGTCGCCTGCTCGGTAACCAGGCACACCCTCCCTCGATGCCAACCTCACCGCGCTCAATTCCGCGGCACGGCCATCAGTCTCCTATTCCGGCACTAACTCCTTTCCTCTGTCTGCCTTAGTTCATGTACGTGCCGTGCCTACGGCTACCCAAGCTACTTCCCTGCAGCAAGGACTCCAGGTTTCCTATGCAAGACCCCAGGCTCAGCAGCAGTCGGCTTGCCCCCTTTGTGCCGTGTGTGATCAAGGCCTCCTGGAGTACCAGCAGACATTCGAGTCGATATACGGAGTAACCCCAGCAGCATCTTCTCGTACCTGCCCATACGACATGGGGCAAAAGAGTTCGAACCCAGGCGCGCAAGGCAATGAAATTGCTCAATCATCAGGATCAAGGCCAGCAACGTGTCCGATGCCTAAAATCCGCTGTCCAGATGGGATGCCACGCATCCGGAAGTACAGCAGGAATGGCACCGGCACCACCAACAAGTGGCCGTGCAGCACAATCAAGTTCGGCACGTCGTCGTGTCCATGCCTGTCTTTCTCCTGCGGACAACATACGTATCTGGGTGTGCATGCGAGCGTCCGCCAGTCAGATGGCCCTTGCCGCGCCCTCCGTTGGGCATCCCACACCCCCTCGCCGCCACGAGTATGGATTCCTACCAGCCGGGAACCTCGACCGCAAAAAGCCCAAAGGCTGAGCAGGGAACATGGGTTCTTGAGGATGGGATGGGGCCATCGTCACTGTTCCGAGTTCTCTGCTTTGTCGGCACAACTCTCATTCATCCCCGCTGTCTTCTAGCCATGAAATCCGTGTCGGAAAATAGCATACCTACCTAGTGCACACAGCAATGCCTACCGCTGCTAGGGTCAGGTCCGAGGGGTTTTTTATCGGCCCCCATCTGACGCGCCTCTTATCCTCCCCCCCTGTGATCGTTTTTGGAGTGGTTGGATCACCATGGAATGGGAGGGGCGGTCTCAACTATCATTCCATTCGATGACTAGACATTCTAAATACCGGATGCCGGATACCCATCGCGTCACGAGATCCTAGAAACATCTTGGATCACTCACAGGACACTAGACACAGTGATTTCTGACTGCAGTAACATGTTGGACATAATCGCTCTCTCCTTTGTTTGGTCGTTGTGCAAGTGGCCCCCCCTGCCCACGAGTCAAGAGTAAGCGGATCCGTTCGTCCCGAGCAGCTGCAACAGCCATCGGAATCCCGATCTCTGGGCTTAGAGACGGAAGCGAGGACCTAGGAAAAGAAGCTTTTTCGTGTTTTCAGGCTGAAGGGTTTTCCCAAATCTGCCGTCGGAAACGGCCGCAGTCGGCAACATACGAGTTCTTATTGTTCGTGAGTTTCATGACCCCATCCAACCTGCTCTTGACGATGCGCTTCGGGAAAGACAGAGAGACAGATATCATTTTGGGGAGTCACGTAAGACATTCTTCTTCCAACTCACACCCTTATACATGCCATGCCCCATATTATGCTTGTTGCCGATTCCCGGCTCAACAACAATAACAACAACAACAACAACAACAACAACAACAATAATAATAATATCGTTATCATTGAGTAGCATATGCTTTCAGGATGCAATGGGCAGTGGCCGTATGTTGTAGAAACAGGCAAGCTTCACTTGGTCTCTGGGTGATAGAATCAACCTGAGACGCGACGCGGCAGCCATTCTCGTCGGTGTGATCTAGGGTCATTTGAGCAAAGGAGGAGAACGCTAGATCTAGGCCACTTGGTCATTTCATTGATTCGTACGTTTCATCCTATGCGTCGTCGAGCCTTGCGGAACGTCCAATTGGGAATGGGATGTAAAGAGAGCAAAGAAAAGAGAAGTTGCTGACCAAGAACATGATATGCATCTCAAAGAGTTGGAGACGCCGATAAGGTACATGTGCAGAGGCACGGCACAGCCAGGAGGCATCAAGTTATCCTATCAAGCCACCGCAGTTTTAGCTAGCCCCGGCATCCAGCGAGGGGCGTCGCCAAGCTAGGAGATCCTCAGCTAGCATGTTTAGCTCGAAGAGTGAGGTACCGTCCGGAGTAAATGGTTTAGCTTGGAGCACACATCATCATCATCATCGTTCATTCGAGCATCCAGTAGCCGTGCAGCATAGCAGCATCCAGTCAGTCAGTCAGTGCGCACCTGCACCTGCCACCCAGATTCTGCCATCTGCCAGCTGGCGTTGCTCGTGCTGCTCCTTCTTGTCCGATACACGAGCCGATGGGTACGTACCGAGTTGAGGGAGGACCGGGAAGGGGACCAGAAAAAAGAAGAGAAAAAAAAAAAGCGGGAAAGAAGATACTTGGCCACCTGCCTGCCCTGTGCTTCGATGTCGACGCTCCTCAGCCCACCCAGGTCCCATCCCGACGTACGATGTACATCGTATATCTCACACCCCCTGGAAGGCGAATCCAGGAATCTAAATCTCACCCCCAGCTCAGTGCTCTGTGCTCAGCAGCCAACAACCCTGTGCAGACTTTCGGGGAAGGCACCCAATTCGTACATGCCGCCTGTCTCTTTTGAGGGCATTCCCTACCTTCAAACCTCCACACCAAGGATTGATATACGTATCGCCGTTTTCACAGGGCAATGAGTGGATCCACATGACTTTTGCACTTGTCTCACAGGGCGAATCTTTCTCTTCCGTCACTATCAATCTACACACCCCAGGGACGAGGGACGACAACGAAAGACGACGACTGCTAGAACAAGGTGCATTGGCCACGGAGGTACGTGCCTGCGATCAGTCTCCCTCCCACTCCCCACGCCTCACACCTTCAGTATACTTGATGGGAAGGATAGGGGAGAAGAGAGAAAGCGGAAGAGAAAGAGAGGAAAATGGAGAAGAGGGTACAGGGCCGTCAGTAACGAAGAGCAACGTCTTCTTGGGCTGTTTTCCAGCCTTCGATCCGTACCTCTACATAGTATCTGTAATAAATCACCAACCACTCACTGTTCTCACTCCCCCCCCGGAACACGTCGTCTGTCCGCCACTCACAATCCAGGCGGACTAATCCTCTGGGAAGGGTGGTTTTTTTTTTTACGTTCTATCCCCCCCCCCCCCCCCCCCCCCCTTCTCCCTTGGGCCAATTGTCCACCTACAGACAGCAACCGCATCCGTCCAGCCGTCCGTCCATCTCTTGAATCTCACCCTTCACCCTTCATCCTTTCACCCTCTCTTCCGTGCCCACTTCACCTCAGTCGTCGCGTCTCCACCAGCTGCAATCAGCCCTCGCGCTGACCCTGTCACTCAGGTGTGGTCCATTATTTCCTCGAGGGCCTACCCCATTCTGTCTTTCCCTCTTCCGTCGCAAGTATTAAATTCGTCTTTCTCCCGGGAACGGCGCTAAGATCGAACTCCCCCTCGTCATTAACCTTCATTGGGTTTACCCCCTTACCCCCTTCCCTTTCCCTCACTTGCCTCACCGAGCAGAGCGAGAAAGAGCGAAAGACGAGGCAGGAGAAATTCAACAAGACAGAAGGGGAAAGAAAACAAAAAAAAGAGGGCCTTTGGCTCTTTCATCCATCCTCCTCCACCATCCGCGCTACTTCAACTAGCACCACGGGAAAACTCGCTGCCCAAACTACTACGCACGCACATGCTCTTGCCTTTCTCAAAGTAGCAGCATCAGCAGCATCAGCAGCAGCAGCACGTACCTCACGTAGCCGTCGTCGTCGAGTCCAAGTCCAACCTCAAGTCCAAAGTCGACTTCGGCATACAGTCTGCACAGAAAAATCCACCCTCCACACACCCACACCTTGCCATCGAGTACCCAGGCTAAGGCCAACCACGCCCCCTACCACACGCACGCACAAGCACCAGCGCCCACCATCCACCTCAGCTACACCTAACATCAAGGCTACTTGACCACCGCCAGCCAGTCCACACGCGCACATTGCTTTGCTGTACCAGCACCTTCTTACCGGTCTGCCGCACATCTACGCATCACTCGCAACCCACCACCACATACTACGCGCGCACATCATCTCTCCAGACTGCAGTACTTTGCGTTGTGGATTCTTCTGCGCTGCACCTGCATCCCCCAAGCCGCATCAGACAATAATCAGTCGCTTCCTTGGGAATCATATCTGCCAGCTTGTCGAACTCAGGTCCCGACCTCAGATCAGGCCAGATTCCGACAGACGCAAAAAAAAAAAAAAGGACTAAGACACACCCTGCGCTATACGCAAAGAGGAACGCTTCGACGTCCCATCCTCCTCTATCTGCTCTCCACCCTCCTCCCTTCCTTCTTCTCCTCTCGCCGTGTGTACCTGGTCCTACACCTACGGTACTGTTCGCCGCCTCGGATCCCTGAACCCATACCACCACACCCAGCTCGTGGACGTGCCGCGCCCCCCCCCCCGCCCTATCTCCGATCCTGACGCTAAGAGACCGCTCGGCCAAAACTCAAGCGGAGAGCCCAGCCCATCCATTACCTACTTAGCGCACTATTTTAGTGTCGCGCTCCCCAGGCATTGCCGTCAACCTCTCCTCAGCCAAAGCGAGAAAGAGAGTCAAGAAAGAGAGAGAGCAAAAGAGGCGTCCGCTCCGTGATCTGGCAAAGACAACGCTATCCTTGCCACTTCCAGAGATCTTCGCTCAGGGCCGGTGACTAGCGACTTTGTTGTCATCACATCCCCATTTAACCATAAACCCGAGCCCTTGGGTGGTCCACGCTATCTTGGCCGCCATCTTTATACACCATCGTCGCGCCGCCTCAAGTCTCACTTTACTCCCCAAGTTCACTCGTCGTCCACTACTACTCCTTCTTTCCATTCTTCAAGTACAAGCCCGCTCTCGCTACTTGAGAGACCGCGTCTCGAGCCAACTCATCAACCACTCTTGAATCCGGAAGAAGAAAAAAGAAAGGCATCGCCTCCCACGAACCTGCGAACCCATCGTTGGCTTGAGAACTAAGGACTCTCCGGCCATTCTTTGCAACCCCAGAACGTTCCGCTGAACTGTAGCATGTTCGTGGTCCCAACGCAACACCAGTTCGTTGACAACCACGCATCACTGCTCTCTTCAAGCTCTCCACAGCTTGGAGGTTCCCGCCCTGAAGCCGCTGCCATCAGCTCGCTTCTCACCTCCCTCAGCACCTCTATGGAACGCAGTGCTACCGAGTACTCGCAGTCAGGTTTGCCTTCGCCTTACCCAAGCAACTGCGGCGACACTCGTTCTGAAGGTTCATCTGCAGATCACGCATCTGCTGCGCAATACGCGACCCAGCAGGAGGTCCGCTCTAGCAACTACTCCACCTCGGCGACTCCCACCTCGGAGTACAGCGTCTACCCGCCCTCTGCGCGGTCAGGCTCTTTTCCTGAACACATTCAGCGATCATACCATCCAGCTAGCAACCACAACGGAAGCAGCGGAGGCATGGCGCAACAAGCAAGCAGTCCGTCTTTGCCCCCGCAGGATGGACGTAACCATCAGGTCCCGATGCCCAAGTCTGACCACGATGTACCCATAGATCCGTCCATAGCGGCGCCGAGTCCGACCTACGCATACGGCCAGCACTCTCCCTACGGCCCGCCTCCGGGAGATATGTCGCATTCCTACCAGCACCCTGCCTATGCGCAACCCCGACCCGACTGGACCGGCTACGGTCAACACAGCGCCGGTCCTCTGACTCCCGCCAGTCACGTCTTCCCCCCGACGCCGAGTTCTGCCCCTCCCCAGGGACGTCCTAATCAGGTAAGTGAAGCTAGCAGGTGATGTGTTTCCGGGTGTGCTGGTGCGTCAAGGCGTTTTGTGTGACGCTGGCAGGTTCATCCTTCCTACCGAGGCCAGAAACAACAAGCTTCCCCAATAATCTTGATGTCCTTTACGGAGAGCTGGAAGGGGAATCAAGAGGCAGTGCCAGCCATTGTCAATAATGCGCCATTGACGACGCGGGCCCAGAGACTAGCATGCGCGCGTACTTTC